CTAAGTCTAATTCTAAGAACTCGACGTTATTTGTTCGTGTAAACTACGTGTCTGGAAACCACTATTTCATACGTACAGGTTGCAAAGCATTCATTTCAAGCAAATGTTATCACGACTTGATAGCTGAGACGCCATATTTCACTAAGAAAAATATATCAATTTTGAAATTTTTGATCATTCTCGGCATAGATTCTACTTTCCAGGCGTGTATTATGCATATACTTTAATTCTAGAAAAGGATTTTCAAATCGATGAAAAAGAAAAAAATATTTGTTATATAAAAATTACATGATTTAATCGGTAAAACAGGAAGAGAATCCCTTTAAGGGGATCTTAAACCGATTATCGAATTTGATTGATATCGATAGTATAGACTTTTTTAATTCCAAATTTGATAATAGTGATATCTTTGAATCATTTCTTATATTATATTCTTATATTCTTATATTATACTTATATCATTTTGTTTTACTTAATGCATACATATATCCTTATTTAACATATGTTATATAAAAATGCATACACCAAGTATGTTAATAACGAGAGTTATTATTTATCGATTATTTGATGATATATCACAAAATTATTCGGGAAAAATGTTATATATATGGACATATATAATAATATATAATTATATATAAATTTATACAGGGTGTCTCTTAAGATGGGTCAGAGCCACATTGGGGGCGGAGAATAGATCAAAGAGAACAAAAAATTCTTATACTATTTTGAGATGTAGTTAGAAACTCGCTGTAGTTAGAAACTCACTCGAATTAGAAAAAGAAACGTCTAAACCAATATGCGGTTAAGTCGCGCCGCGCGAATTCGTAGGACGGTCCACACTCGACCGGCGGCAGCGGTGACGCGCAGGGAGAGGGAAGTAGCGCTTCATTGCCTAGCACAGCCTGGCATGGCGATTCTGTATTTCGCCGCATCGCACCTTATTACATTATTCAAATTATTACATTATCCAAAAATGTTACTTTAGCTGAAGTTTTTCTTATCATTATAAATTACGTTTAGTATACGATTATTTATTATATATTTTATAAATCACATTATTTAGCATATGATTAAATACGTTTTAACACAATTATAGATATGTTAAGCGATTAATTAAAAATCTGTAACTGTCATTAAAAAAAAATCTATAACTTACAAGGAGAGGGACTCAACTATCCCTCTCCGATTTTAATAAGCAATATGTTATTCTCCAGACAAAAATAAGCGACACATATTTTTTTATACGTGCCTATACGCACTTTAAAAGATGAGATACTCCTTGGAAAAAAATGATTTTTTTCTTTTGTAGCGAATATCATTGAAAAAATCTCTTCTTTTTTCTCTTTCGAAGCGAATATCGTTGGAACTGTAAAAGACAGAAAAAAATTTTCAGAAAATAGAATCGTATAAGCAAGCGGAAAGGTATCTCATCGCGACGATCAGCATACGCTTTGCATAATACATGCTCTAATTAATTATATCGTTATCTATAATTGTATTAAAACACATTTAATCGTGCTAAATAACGTGATTTGTAATGATAAAAAAAATTTCAGCTAAAATAACACTTTTGGATAATGTAGGCGCGATGCGGCGAAACACATAGGACCGTCATGCCAAGCTGTGCTAGGATTACAACGCTACTTCTCCCTGCGCGCCGCCGCTCGAGTGTAGGCCGTCCTACGAATTTGCGCGGCACGGCTTAATCGCCTGTTGGCTTAGACGTTTCCTTTTCTAATTCGAAAACTACAGCGAGTATCTCAAAATAGTATAAGAATTTTTTATTCTCTTTGATTCATTCTCCGCCCCCAATGTAGCTCCAACCCATCTTAAAAGACACCCTGTATAATTTTGTATAACTATATATAATTATATATAATTTTGCGCGCGCGCGCGCGCGCGCGTGTGTGTGTGTGTGTGTGTGTGTGTGTGTG